TGGACTCCCACATGGTCCCAGTCCTAGACCAGGTGACGAAAATCACATCAGACACATGTCTGTGCATGCCCAAAACCCCTAAAGGAGAATGAAGGAGAAGGTACTGTGGTGTGTCCATTGCTCCTGGGGAGTGATTTCTCACTTTCCCTCTCTCTTTCTCTCTCCCGTGAGCACACACGCCCTACAGTTAACAAACAACAACAACAAAACACTATGAAATAGATCTGCTGAGAAATCTGTAGCTGCACTTACACTATTTTTTTTTAATTTGAAAAATCCAGAATATAGGGATTGCATAAAAATCACAAGCTGGGAAAGAATCTTCAGAAATGTATGTAGTTCATCTTTCTGCCTCTTAGCTCATTTACACTTAAGTTTGTTTACATATTTAAGATATGTATCCACAACAAAGAATTATTCAGCATGGGTGGGAGTTTGAGAAAAAGATGTAAGTCACCTAAAAATATGGCCCTTGGAAAAGACTGTTTAGAGGAATGTCATGACCCAATTTCCATTTTTTTTTTTTTTGAGAGGTTTTTGCTATAGGGCGTGTGTGTTCACCAGACAGACAGAGAGAGACAGAGAGACAGAAAGCAAGAAATCACCCCCCAGGGGGATGGCTACACCGCAATCCCTTCTCCTCCATTCTCCTCTCAGGATCTTGGGCACACATGAATTTTAAGCCACCGGGTCCAAGACACGAACTGCGGTCGACTATGTGGGAGTCCAGCGACATAGCCATTACGCTAACTGCTGGAACCCCAATTTCCATTTTCATATCATCATCCCCGTTTGTACTTGAATGTGAAATGCATACGCTGGAATGGCACGTGTGCATGTTGATTATAGCCATCCATTCTGTCTCCTGTTGAGGAGGATATCCAAAAATCTTGGCAAGAGGAGATGCTAAGTTAACTCAGATCTTGGTTATCTCTTCAGCTTCAAACAACACATGCTACCAGGTATTATTTTTGTATATCGCACCCTATTATTCTTAATAAACTATAAATTCTTCAAAAACAGCATCATGACGTTTTAACTCCTTATATCCCTAATACTTCAAATACACAAGTTTTAAAAAAAATATTCACTAATATCAATGAAAACAGCTACTTATCTAGCCCATTTCCATTTAATTTTCTACCTCAACTATTTAAAGTGTTTGTTAAAATATATACAAAGTATATTACCATACTCAAATAAATACTTGCACATCAATGTTCAGAGAAGCATTACTCCCAGTAGCCAAATGATCGAAACAATTCAAATGTCCATTGATGGATAAATGGATAAACAAAATGTGGTATATACATAGTATGGGAAATTAATGAGCCTTAAAAAAGAATGAAATTCTGATATATGCTACAATGTGGCTCAATCTTAAAGATAGTGTGCTGAGTGATAAAAGCCAGTCACGAAAGGACATACATTTGTCTGACTCAATTCTTATGAGGTACTCATAATGAAAGTCACAGAAATAGAAGACAGAATAGTGATTATAGGCACTGGTGGTAAGGAGGAATGGGGAGTTAGTGTGTAATGGGTACAGAGTTTTGATTTTGGTTGATAAAAAAGTTCTGGAGTTAAATAGTGCTGGCAGTTGAATAATATGAAAGTACTTACTACTACTGAACTGTACAGTTAAAAATATTTAGATGGTTAATTCTGTTATGTTTATTTTACCACAATAAAAAAGGGAAGGAAATGTATATCACCATATAACCTTAAATATTCACCCACAGAGTACTTTATACATGTTATTTTACAGTTCTTGACTTCAAATTATTAAGAATAAAGTAGTTGGAGCCAGCAGGTGTTGTCATGGCTAAGGTGCTGGACTCCTACATAGTCGATCACAGTTCAAGTCCCAGACCCGGTTACTTTAAACTCACACTGGGTGCATGTGCACATGTTCCCAAAATCCTGAAAGGAGAATGAAGGAGAAGGGATTTCAGCATAGCCATCCCCCGAGGGGTGATTTCTCACTTTCTGTCTCTTTCTCTCTGGTGAGCACTATTTTTGCCATATAGCAAAAGTCTTCTCTTAAAAACAAACAAACCAACAAATAATAGTTAGCAAAAAATTACAGTTTTATATGAATCTGCTTTCTTAAAAAAAAAATGTGATACAAAAAATACTTGAAAAATAAAGTTTTAATCTAAGCAATGCCTTTAATACATTTGTTCTAATTCCACAAACCCTTTGCCTACAACAAAAATACTTAAACATGGCTGCAATCAACATATCCACATGTCTTTAACATTCACAGACAAATTCATCTCTGCTTTTTCAACAGAAACTTGTCTGCAATTAATGATTTTGTAATTCGGTTCTATTTTCTTTTATCCTTTTCCCTTGGGGGCATAAACTATGTATGCAAGAACTACACTTTGTGCAACATTTCAGGAAGGTTAACAAGCATCAAATAAGATGCCATAATATTTAAAATAAAATGATAAACTAGGATAATTTAAGATTATATTAAGCTGAATATATATATATAAAAGCTGCAAAATACAAAGGCGATAATATTTGGCTGCCGATTATTTATATAATTCACATTGCAACAAATCTAATTGAAATTCACGGAAATGTAACATTCTTAAAAATACAATTTCCCTAATCCATTACTTTGCCACCTTTCAATATAATATACCACATATACATTGATTTCTATTTCGTGATTATGTCAAATTATATTGATTTAACACACAGTTAAATGTAACAAAATTGATTAAATTCATAACTCATTTAACATGACTCATTTAAGAGTCCTGACCCAAATTTAGTACTGGTTTATTAATTCTGTCTCTGGTAATTACTAAACTAGGAAATTTTCATTACTGATTAATTTTCCAAGATCTGCCAACAAAACCATTATTGTATACTCATTGAAATCTAAAGTCACCTACAATAAAAAAGAATAAAAGCAAGAAAAAGGTATATTCAAGCATCTGACTTTCCTAGTTAGTGTTTTATACGTATTCCTTCTAGAAGTGGCTATTTCGAGTGAAAATAAATCCTGTCAATCCATAATTTCCTACTATCTCAAGTGCAAATGCAGTAACTATTGTTGAGTACCCCACACCCTAGAGATTTACTTTTCCTTATATTCTTCCTACTGTATATTCCCTCCAAAATTGTGTATTTCATGTCCAATGAATCTATCAAAACTCACATATTCATCTAAGTTTTCACTAATTTAACACTTGGACTCAACAAAAAATTTCCTAGACTATACTAGGAACTGAATTCCATACATCACTTTATTAAATGAGTATTATTGATCTTATGTTAAAGGAAAACGAGGTTCAGAAAGACAAAATAATTTTATGTCACAACTAGTAATTAGTTCATTCAAGAACTGAAATCCAGATATTACAAATTTAAAACGAAGAGGGAAGAGAAGTAACACTTGTTGCACACCAAGTATGTGCCAGGCCAGCAACATATTTTTGCACACATTTCCTCATTTAATTCTAACCATTGCTTTTTAAAGTGGGCATTATCTCCACTTTGAACATGAGGAAACTTAAGTAAGATGTGATCTAAGATTGTACACCTATTTGGCAGCCAATACGAACAGAAAACCTGGGATTACACACATTGATAAATTTTGCCTTCAAACCACTACCTGCTGTGATCTAAGGAAGAAAGTTCATTTGATTTGTCGCTTCATTTTTGTTTTCTATTTTGTGTTTATATTCTACAGAGAAAGGAACAATTTCACTGATCTAATTATAAAAATAAGATTTCCAACTCCTTAAGAAAATCTTATCTGTTAGTAATTCCCTGTAGAGTTACTATCATAAAGTCTACCTGCAGATATTTTCAAAGCCCTATTTATGAGATTATCATCGTCTATCTTAGCCACTCAAAGAGTGACCTAGTGAGCCCACTGGTGGCACAGACAGTATCAAATTAAACTGCAGTGTTGAGAGACACAGCCAACCATAGGTTTAGATTCCTGAGTTAGCTTGAAAATATGCTCAGCATCCTGACAAAATGGAGGGCCAGAACAGGGGATGGTGGTGTGATAAGACTCTCTCACGGGTACTTCTCCCTCTCCTTCTCAGGCTCTCTCTCCATCTCAACTGCATGCTCTTTATCAGGAATAAAATTAAGTTTAAAAAAAAAGAATAAACTATTACCCTAAAAAAATGTATTTTCAATGCTTAAACAGAGGTCTTTACAGGAATGCTACCAGGTGGCAATCTATGTAGGAGAAGGATGTTTCTCTGACCTTTAGCTCCATTTAGGATGTGTCCCCTACACTCTAGAGCATGGCCTACAGAATGGCCAAGGACATTTATAAATGCCAATTAATATAGAGTATATTGAGATTTAAAAATGCCAAAATGAGGGACCAGCAGTTAGCGTAATGGCTATGTCGCTGGACTCTCACATAGTCAACCGTGGTTCGAGTCCCGGACCCGGTGGCTTAAAACTCACACTGGGCGCGTGTGCGTACACGTCCAACATCCCGAGAGGAGAATGAAGAAGGGATTACAGTGTGGCCATCCCCCCTGGGGGGTGATTTCTTGTTTTCTGTCTCTCTGTCTCTCTCTGTCTATCTGGCGAGCGCATGTGCCCTATAGCAAAAATCCTAACCAAAAAAAAAAAAAAAGTTAATTAAAAAAATGCCAAAATGAGAACCGTATAGTATTTAACATGCAAACAGAAATCAGCTCAATATTAATACAGTAAAAGAAAACTGTGAGTTGACTCTTGTCATTAAAATACCTTTGCAAAGATTCAGACTCTCTTTTGAATTAGATGGAAATGACTAAAAAAATTTCTTGAGTAACAAGGACAGGAATTAAAGCATAAAAAAAGAAGCTGAACTCACCTAGCTCTAATAAAAAGTAGTTTAAAAGGGTGGATTTTGGACTAGGAAAGAAATACTACTATTTCAAACAAACAAAAAATTCAAACTTAATTTTATTTCTACTTCAGAAAATTCAGCAATTTCTCATACTAAGAATCTACATTCTATTAACCTTCTAGATCTTGTTAGAATGTTCTCTTCCTTTATCAATCCAAATCCAAGTCTCTTCCTCATTTTCTCATCTGCTTCTGTTCCTCTTGAAGATCACTCAAAAGAATAAGGCAATGATACATCTAGAGATCAAATGAATAATTACCACATATCAGCTAGGCTATAAAGGAATCATATTTAATAGCTGTTTTCAAATTTTGTTCCTTGAAAGAGTTGTATGAGATATTTCCAGGAGCGGCTAAATGAAAGAGTACCAGCTAGGTTTCATTTGTAATGATCTGAAACCTTCATCCTTTTTTCATTCATATATAAAACTTGAGACAAGGGAAATATATAAGTGTTTTTAATAAAAAATGTAACATTCTCACCACAGAATATGTAAGGCATAGAGGAGAGGAGGGTGATAGTATGTTGTATTTTAAAAAATGAATTTCTCATCTTTCTTTCATCTGAGCACTTATTTATGATGCAAATCCTAGAGATAAAAAATTAAAGTAAGAATTTTGATGTTTCTCAATAATCCATGTACACTTTTAAAAACAAGATATATTTTGCTGTGAACAATGTTGTCTATGTATGTCAATTGTATCTAGCTGATTAATCGTGCTGTTGAATTTACCTGTCTTCGCTGATTTTCTGCCTGCTGGATCTACCCATTTCTGATAGAAAGATGCTGAAGTCTCCAACTATAATAATGGGTTCATCTATTTCTTCATCAGTCCTAATAGTTTTTGTTTCGCATATTTTGACACCCTATTGTTAAGCACATACACATTAAAGATTATTACGTCTCCATGGAGAACAAATTTCTTTATCATCTTATTATACTCCTTTTATCCCTGATAACCTTCTTGACTCTGAAGTCTCTTCTGTCTGAAATTACTAAATTTGCTATTCCTGCTTGCTTTTGATTCATGTTATCATGGTACATCTTTCTTCGTCCCTTTGTTTATAACCTGTATGTCTTTATATTTAAAATAGGTTTCTTGTAGATAGCATATGAAGGTTTGAATTACTCTAGCCCACTTATATGCAGATTTTTAAAATAAATTTTGTGAATGTATTCTCTCTTATTTTCTTAATAATATTTTCTGCTGCAAATTTATTCTCTCTTATTTTCTTAATAATATTTTCTTTCTTTAGGGCCAGCAGATGGTGAGGTAGTTAAGGCACTGGACTCCCACATGGCTGACCACAGTTCAAGTCCTTAAGCTTGTGGTTTGCTTTCTCACTTTCCCTTCTCTCATTCTCTCTCTGGTTAAATTAATAATAATAATAATAATAATTAAATAAATAATTATTTTTAAAAATTACAATATTTTCTTTCTTCTAGCTTACATTAATTAATGTAAAAATAGTACATAACACATTCTACATACAAAATATGTGCTAATCAATTTTTTATGTTATAAGTAAGGTTATCAGTCAACAGTAGGTTAATAGTAGTTAAATTTTAGGGGAGTCAAAGTTATATGTGAATATTCAACTATGCAAGAGGTCTGCATACCTACCTTGTGTTGTTCAAGGATCAATTACAAGTTGAGTAGTTTTCTGAACTACTCTGACAATGTCTGTCTTTTAACTGCTGTATTTAAACCACTGATGTTTAAAGTGACTGACTGGTCCAGTCACTGTTACTAGCACCCTGCAAAGCTAGAAACCATATGGCGTGACCATAGTTTGGATCTCAAATATATGACTCCAAAACAAAGTCAAAATTTAAGTAAAACTGAGACTTACTACTTAACACCCCAGGTTAGCCTGAAAAATACTCTGTGTGTGAGTGACCAAGATTTTGAGGAGCTGGAGGGCTGGGAAAAGAGGATCCCACCCCCATCTCATGCATACATGTGCAGAGAAAAAATAATAATAAATTAATTAACTTAGGAAATGTTAGTCCACTGAATAATGCTGTTTGCTATTCTTATAGCAAGAAATACAACTAAATTTTTTTCTCAAATCACACTGAAAACCAAATTACTTTTTATATCACTGGCTTAACTTTTATTCAGCTGAGTTTTAACCTACTTAACCAGAGGCAAGCTGGCTAAGTTAAAGTGAACATAATACCTAATTCACCTTAAGCAATTTGAAAGCACTGTTAAAAATAATCCTCCAAGGGGTCAGCAGGTGGTATGGTGGTTAAAGATGCTGGACTACCACATGGTCAACTGTGATTTGAGTCCCAGACCTGGAGGCTTGTTTTCTCACATTCCGTTTCTGTCTCTGTCTCTGTCTCTGCTCAAATTAAAAAATAATAATAATAACAAAAGATAATAATAATACTAACAAATGGAATTGGATAAATAAATAATTCTTTAAAAAAATAAATAAGCCTCCAAAATTAACAATATAAAAATGGCCAGACCTAAAGGAACACATTAGTAATATCTTTACTTTTCATATATGTAAATTGCATTATTTTTTCCACATCTGCAAAACATTAGACACAATGAACATCTCTGAACCCTTTACACAGTGAACAGATGGTGAACCATTACAAAATTAGGAGCTAAGGTAACCTCTTAAAGAACTGTGAATAATTTTGCTATTCAGACAGCAGATAGCTACGAGTTGGATGAGTAAATTTTCCTAGGAAGAAAATAAAAAATTAGGGTGAAATATACAATTTGGAGATGGTTACAAAAAGAATGGAAGAAAGTAGTAAGTGAAAGATTATATAAAAGTTGCTAGGGAAAAAAAAATCCAAAAAAGAATATCAAATGAGAATGAAAATGGATGCTTATGAAAGATAGAAAAGAATGATATGGAAGTTCCGCTCCTAATTCACTAAATATATATTCTTGGGACACTACATTCCTGAAATTCCAAAACAAAGTCAATATTTAAGACTTAATACTTAAGGTTTCTAGGGAAAGTAATAATAAAGGAGACTGAATTATGTCAATTTACAAGATAAAGAATTAAGAACATCAAAAGTGAAAAGATAAAAAATGTTAACTGTCAAGTTATATCAGGTGGTTATATACGTAAAAATTAGCCATTCAGCTGTCAATGGTTATGTAAGGGACAATACAGCCTCATTCTGTTCTTAAAATGCCATATGCGCTTGAGAAAGTCACTGTACAATCTTTAGAACTGAAGTAAAAGTAGTTTCAGGGATAGTGATGCTATATAAATAGTGTTTTCTGGGTAAGGAAACACTACCTAAAAGGAGGGCGATTTCTTAATTTTTAAAAAGAGAAAATTTTATTTATTAACTAAGTTCTTTCAATATTAACAGTGAAAAATGGCTTACCTTCCTTCCCCTAGAACATAAGAAGCTGACAGAACCATGTTTTTCCAAAGGAAGGTCTTATTGCATGAATCTGGGTCACTAAAATTATTAGCTGTTCAAAATGAGATAAAAGAAAAGGGAAATGTTAATTATCTAGAAGCAGACATTTTCTTTGTTGTTAACATGAAACATATCTTACATAAAACCATTCAAATGAGATAGATATCCCTACTTTGACTCTCCAGCGAAAGCTCCCTTGAAGCAAAAGACTGGACAAACAGTTAAAATGACTTAAACAATTCATGACTATTAACTGTGCATAGATTGGAGTTTTTTAAAAGTTTATCCTCACAGTTATCATCCAACTTCAATATCCTCCCCCCAGAAAGAAAAGGCAAAAGTTCAGCCAATACAAAAAGGCTTCATAGTTTTAAAAAGGGGTGGATGTGGAGGCAAAGAGGCAGGAATATTCATTGGGCTTCAAGGACAAAAAGCATGTTCCATAACAGAACCTATCCACAGTTCCTCATCTAAAATTCAACTAACATCCAATTGCGGCAATCAGCCAAGCTTGGCAAATTAAAATAACAGTAATTTTGACAGATTATCTTCTATAAATATTCAAATATGGACGCTTATGTGAATGCAAGGGTCTTTATATGCCAATCAAAATGCTTTGTTTAGGATCCTAAAATTAAGCTTTTTTCACCCTTTTGTAGGAATCCCCTGAATCCTTAACTTTCATTTTAACTCTCTCACCCCAGCTGATTAAGAGACCAGTTATCCATGTCTGAATTTTAAAATTAAGGATAACAGGGGCTAGATGGTAGTGCAGCAATAAAATGCAACACTGTGATGCTGATCCACATGGGAAGGTTCTGAGTTCTCATCTGAAAATAGCTGAGAATATAAGGCATGTATGTGCCCATGATCCAGGGCTGGATGAGGCTGGATTGCAACACCAAAATCATGTTGGGGGTGCTATATCTCTCTTTTTCTCTTTCTCCCTATGGCTCAAAGAAGTAATAAATGATAAGATAAGGATAGCATTCATATAAGCATCAACAGACAAAAGGAAAGATTTAGAAAGGGATAAAAGAAACAGGAGAATCTTGAAGGACAGCAATCAAATAAAAGGTTAACTTTTTATTCATGTGATCAGGTATGCCCTGGTAAAGTAAAATACAGATGTCAAGAACAACTAGAAACTTAAAAAATTTGGGTCTATTCAAAATTTTATTAGGAAAGATCATTTACTTGACTCAAGTCAATAATCTATGTTTTGATGACAAGTTTAAGTTCATAAAACTCAAAACATAGGGAAATGCAATTAGTATAAAATTTGAGAGCCAGCCCATGGTACAGTGGTTAAGGCAGCTGGATCCCACGTGGCTGACTATACAGTTCAAGTCCCAGACCCAGCTGCTTAAGAAACAAGTCAGGTGATGGGTATGTATGCCCAAAATCCTGAAAAGGAGGAGAAATTGAAGAGAAGGGATTGCAGTGTGACCATTACCCATGGAGGGTGCTTTCTCTCTCTCTCTCCCTCTCTCTTTCATTCTCTGTCTCTCTCCAGCAAGTACACATGCCATTCAGCAAAAGAAAAAAATAAATCAAATCAAACACATTTTTTTCAAATCAACAGATGGCCCTATCAACAATAAGAGCCAGACCACACATGACTGTGCTGTTCCAATCTTGCACCCAGCAGCCTGAAAAATATGTCAGGCATATGTACCCCGGCAGAATGGAGAGATGGAGAAGAGTTGGTGGAATGGCCACATCCTATTTGTGGGCAGAGAAGTGCTTTTCATTTTCCTTTTCTCTTTCTCTTTGTCTCTCTATCCCTAGCAAGCACATGGCAACTTAAAAAACAAGAATAATCGATAATTAAGAGCAATAATGGCTTTAATGTAGACAAGTTATATGATGCATAAATTTACTAAGTGTTCGATCCTCTCCCTTAATCAGTTTCTCTTAAACATGTACAAAATTACTAAAAAGCCTCAGATCTTCCAGGAAGAAGTACAAATGACAGGCATGCTTCTGCGTCTAGGACAGCATTAAATTGTGGAAGAAAACTCGGAAACTTTATTCAGAGACATATTTCTTTCTGATCGCACCTGGAAAGACAAAGTTATAAGCGCCTCTAAGATTGCTTGAACTATCCCCAGTTAGGCTTGCAAGACACTATTAATTTTTTTTTAATCACCTACTGCACAACTATCCAATGAGTATGAAATCCAGCAGTAGATCCAAACCAAATGAATGCTTTCCAAAACAGGAAAGGAAGGAAGAAAGTCTGGTCTAGACATCAGAAGATTCAGCCCCCATAAGACTTTGTTAGAAATGCAGAATCTCAGGGCCAGCAGATGGTATCATGGTTATATCACTGAACTCCCATGGAGTTGATCATGGTTTGAGTCCCAGACCCAGTAACTTAAAACTCACATTGGGCGAGTGTGCATGCATGCCCAAACTCCTGAGAGGAAAACAGAGGCGAAGAGACTGTGGCATGCCCACTGTCACCCCAAGGGGCTGATTTCTTGCTTTCTGCCTCTCTGACTTTCTCTCTCTGGCTAGCGCACGTGCCTTATAGCAAAAATCTTTCTAAAAAAAAAAAAAAGAAGAAGAAAGGAAGAAAGGAAGAAAGGAAGAAAGGAAGAAAGGAAGAAAGGAAGAAAGAAAGAAAGAAAGAAAGAAAGAAAGAAAGAAAGAAAGAAAGAAAGAAAGAAATGCAGACTCTCAGGCTCTACTCTGGAATATACTTAATCAGAATCTGTACTTTAACAGTACTATGTGACACAGATACTAATTAAAATGTGAGCAACTCTGCAGGATGTGGAATATCAGAATGAGAGAGAAAGTATATCTGTTTAAAGATTGGTTCTCACTGCAATCTACTGTATGATCAATAGGTAGTGAATTTTTCATCTCTGGTTACAGTACTGTTACTACTACAGTTTTCAAAATCTTAAATAAGGACTCTTAAAAAAAAGAAATGCCTCAAGAGCCAAAGGATGAGTATTTAATGATTAAGTCTTGGGTTGTAAGAAAACCTGTGACAGTTACCTTAGACCAAGTGGTTTCATGTCCCCAAATTATACTAACAGACAAATTAAATCTAAAAAAACAGTAACAACTCCTTTTCTTCCAAACCCTCAGCACTAAGAGCATGTGGAGGTCCCAGTGGCTGGGAGAAAGACTAAGAGACCAAAAGATGATGTCAAAGTGTAATGAGTAGACTATGTGTGCTGGTTATTCAGCTATTGTCTCTCGACTCCAAATCTACTCTTTAACACTCATCTCTATAATGCTGAAAATAGAACTCTGAAAACTACTTTACTCTTTTGCCAGCTAGCTTTCTCATGCTGCCAATAAAGGCACCAGGGAGAGAATAGAAACTTTTTCCAATGAGCTTTGCCCTGCCTTAGGCCCTCCATCCCAACAGAAGCAGTTGTTAACAGCCACAGCTTTTTCCAATACTCCCAGAAGCACCTCTCAGAAATACCAGCAACAGCCAGGCAGGCCCCTCCAGAAGTTTTGAATCCCAATTCTGTGGTGCACCAACTCTAAACTCTTCTTTGTTCCCCAGTCCTAAGAATGATGACTGCTTTCTAAAATCATAAGGTGTCTTCAAAAAGCTCATAAAAAGCAAATGTTGTAGGAAAAAACTATACATAGATTTTAATTTTTTTGCACCAAAATAAACATATACTTTAACTCCATTTCCCAACAAACTTTTTGAAGGCCCCTCGTACAACATCTGTTACCCCAGCATTTCCCTTTTGCTTTTTCAGTCCTCCATCACCCACATAACCTATCCCCTATATTAATTTTTTCAGCTAATGTATCCAGTGTAGATTGCTTTTGTGACCTGACCCTAACTGATCCATCATAGTTACACAGAATAAAATTCAACATGATCTTTACCACTTTGGAAAACTCCTTTTCCAAAATATGAAAGTCCAGGAAAAAATATATACTGCATTTCCTCCAAAACTAAGTGAAACATGTAAAATGGATACAAGAAGTATGGTTGAGAAAAAAGGGGAAACACACCCTAAGAAAAAAACACATTGAAACAACTAACATAGTACAAAACCTATTTTAACCCTCAAAAGCCATAAAGAAAAGCCAGTAAAAAGTCTGAACAAATATGTTTTATCATTTAAATAATACAAATTACAAAATTTTTAAAGTGGAAAGAACTTTATTTCTTTCACCTCTGCCAGTGTTCAGCTTTGTTAAAGTAGTGTTATACCTAATTGAGTTACTACACTTTAAGGAAGAAATTAGGGTAAGTCCAAAGAAGATTATATGAATGATGAAAGGGAAAATGAAATAAGACTCATGAAGAAAAGGTTCAAGGAATCAAACATTTTATTCTACTCCAGTGAAAAGAAAATTTCAGGACATCACAGCTGCCTTCTAGTTTAAGAGTTCTGATGAGCTTTATTTCATCATCTCTACAGGAGAAATGAGCCTAAAATGGAATATGAGAAAGCAAATGAAGACAAAAAATGAAGCTTCTTAGCTTACTGACTACTTCAAGTCACTAAAGTGGTGGCTCTTAACGCTGGCTGTAGGGGAGAATGTTGGTAGGATATTTCTACTAAAAAGAAAAAAAATGATAATGGATGATGGTGGTGGTGGTGATCAGAACCCCAGTGCCAGAGATCTGATTTAACTGAGCTGACACAGAGCCCAGGCATATTTTTTAAAACACCAACAAACAAAAATATCCAAGTGTTTATAATATACTAACAAAGGGGCCAAGAATCACTTAATGGAATATTCTGTAATTTTGCCAGTAAATGTAAGGAGTAAGAATTACCTGCATTCAAATTGCCAGGAGTTTATTAGAAAGCAGTATCTCGGAACTGTTCCAAAACTACTGAACAAGAATCTATAGGTTGAGAAGATTCCTGAGTAGGTCTTAAGCACACTTAAGTTTAAGAAAACATCAGTTTATGAGGGTATGTAAGACAGAGTGAAAGGCAGAGTATGTAGAATGGGAAAAGCAAACCTCAGCTTAAAAACACTAAAAATAATCTACTTAGTTGAATATTTCCAAAGTTTTAAATATAAAGGATTTTCACTTTGGAAGTCTGTTAGACTATACTTAGAATACTATTTTAGAGAGTAAATAGTAATAATCACTAATTATTCAGCACATACTATTTGCAGACATTGTTCCTTTATTGTTTTTTTTACAAACTAATCCTCAACACATGTCTATAAAAATAGGTATTTTAAAATCTCCATTTTACAGATAAGGCAAGATAAGATATTAAATTAATAGCTTGTTCCAGGTCACACCACTGAAAAGTGGCAAAACTGAGATCTGAATCTCGGTAGTCTGTTTAAGAGCCTATAATGTCAACCATGAAAAAATACTATTTCTCAATATCATCTCAAGACACTTCGAAATCATTCAGAAGTATAATTATTGGTAAGAAAATTCTGTAAGAATAAAGAAAAAATTAGTGTGCTTTTCTCTAGTTAAAAAAAAAAAATTGGGGACCAGTAGGTTAGGCATAGTGGTTAAGGGCACTGGACTCACGGTTCAAGTCCCAGACCTGGCAGCTTGCTTTCTCACTTCTCTCTCTCTCTTTCTCTCTTGCACTCTGCCCCTCTCTGGTCACATTTAAACAAACAAATGAACAAACATCTATAGTAGAGACATAATTGTTCAACATTGTTCTGAGTCTATGGTCCACATTTAAAAGAGATACGTGACAGAGAAAATAATTCAGGAAGTTACTAATACTCCACATGATCAATATTTTAGAGTGATAAAGATATCAATTCATGAAATTATTTTAAAGAAGAAACATTTTTGATAATAACCAATTTATCAGTATCTGGGAAATAACCGAAACGTGATATCTAGAAACAAATTCTCTCAAAGTCTCCTTAATTCACCCATACAACTACTACCACAATCACTACTGCCATCACCTTTAGAAATGTAAAGTACCTAAGGTTATGATTATTTTTTACAATAAGGAAGCAAGGCATAAATCTACTTCGATTTTTCTCCTCCTCTGTACCCTACTGCTCCCTACCTCTCAGCAAGTCCATTTCTTTTCAACCTGTAATTACAGAAACAAAAAGTCCTATTCCAGTGAGATCCAAAAGTTACTTCTGAAAATGTTGAGGAAGACCTTTCAAAGAGAGATCAGATATAGGCTGTCAGTAAAAACTCTAGAAGAAATTTTAATAATTAATGTGAATTCTAAATAGAATGGCAGAATAGCCAAAGTTCCCAGAGATAAATAACATCAGCAAATAAATTGAGTTTTAAATACGTAAAATTTTATTCTATGAGAGTTTATAGCAGAGTATTACTGGTATTTTAGCTTCATTTGGGGCAAGCATGCTTTAAAAAAAAAAAAGAGTGTACTATTTCTTTTATATTAACAATGACAAAGCCTTGGTGACCCACTTTCAGAGAATGAACAAAATAGCAGATATTAAAATAGCTTAACCAAAAAGAATTATTAAAGTGGATAATACTTTCAGAGAATGAACAAAACAGCAGATATTAAAATAGCTTAACTCATAAGAATTATTAAAGTGGATAATGAAGCCAAAAAGAATTGGGGGTTATAGATATCAACGCAAAGATTCACTGAGATTTAGTCTTCCAAACATTTAAGTTTAGAATTATGACTTGAGGCAATTTTAAAGTACGATTGTACCTGAAAAATCTAAAAAGGTAAGATCCACGTGAAGCACTGTAGAGATGCAACCTGATTTCCTAAAGAGTAGACAAGAGTAAGACTTCCCAGAAAGCCAACACAAATTAAGCCCAAAAGAAGAAAACTCTTAGGGCGCAAGGCAATAGTCAAAAAGCACACAAACTGAATTTTCCTGATATGACTAATAAAAATGACCCAGAACAAAACTCTTTGAAAATTTCCATCAGCTTTTAATATTCATATTAGTTATGAGAATTATTTGTAGCTATTTTTCCTTTTAATTAGCACCAGACTATCACTCCCTTCCCCTTTCCCTTTAGCTTCATAATAACATGTTCTCTATCTTCCTTCTCCCCTAGCCCATTCAAAAAGACAACATTAGTTGACTGAGTAAAATCTATTAATTAAAAAAATGAAAAAATACTCCACATAAGTGATATTTACTTAACAGTAGTTAAATGAATAAATACCACCACCCCTTCTACCTTTTAACACAGAAAAATCATATTTACCATGTCATGCATAAAAATTTCCCATTAGGGAATAAATGACAAACTCTGTCACCAATAAACTGAAAAGCTTACTACAGTAAAGAAAAATAGTTATTAAAAAACCACTAAAATAATTTTTAAAGCATCTAGAGGAATATATTTTAAAAAATAATTCTCAAACTTCATCATGAATTATGATTAAGCCTAAAAAATGTCAGAGTCTAGGTTCCATGGCCAGAGGTTCTGATTTAAGTCTGTGAGTTTCTGAGGACAAACCCAAAACTCTACATTTTAACAAGCTTCTCAGAATATTACCATGCAGATTATCCATGAACCACATTCTAATAGAACCTTCACTTTTAACCACTGTCAACTTCCAAGTAAGTCCTTTAGATCTAGTCAGAAGGGTCAATCTCTCACCATAAAAGCCACAATTTTAGATTAAACCACATGCTTGGAATTAACAGGGGGAAAAAAAAAAACAACCAGTTACTAGATGTACTACTACTGACTGTGAACTTTTACACACTCTTTTACAAATGTAGGTAGGTATGTATGTATATGAATAAAATTAATAAATTAAATATTGTGTGTGAAGGATGCACTACAGTGTCTGGCTGGAATAAATAAATACTCAAAAAAAAAAAAATAGCAGCTGCTATTATTCCTAATCTTTACAACCACTCTAGTAGGTGATTGGTTATTTCCAACTTAGAGTGGAAGAAACGAAGGTTTAAAAACTTGCCCCAAGTCACAGGAATAGTTAAGGAGCAGAGACTGGATTCAAGACAATTCCCAAGACTACAAAACCTGAACTCTACTCTAACCTAAGCTAACTTCGTAAAGCAGCAAGGTGAAAACAGCAGATACAAAACCATTCCACAGTCATAACCACTCTTTATACTCTTTATGAGATAATTTTACTGAGTCATCTCCAGGTCATTCATAACCTGGGCACACTCTCATAAATGTTTCTATATGACTATGAATTAAAGAAGGGTAGAGCTAGGAGGTGGTGTTGGGATTAAGAACGGTGGCTCTTACATGGCCAACTAACTGCGTGTTGGAATCCCAGACCCAACGCCATGGCCAGGCATGTGAGCATGTGTGCCCAAGATCCCAAGAGGAGAATGGAAGAGAAGAGATTGTAGCATGGCCATTCCCCCAAGGGTAATTTATTTATTTATTTTCTTTCCTTTCCTTTGTTCCTTTCCCTCTCTTCTCCCTCCCTTCCTCCCTCCCTCCCTCCCTCCCTCTCTCTCTCTCTCTCTCTCTCTCTCTCTCTTTCTCCCTCTCCCCTGCAAGAGCAAATACCCTATAGCAAACTAAAAATGAATAACATTCAAAACAAAACAAAAAAATAGAAAAGGGTAGCCATAGACTGAGATGGGCTGCTAAGAGTATTTAATGTTTCACAGCACTTTAGAACTGCAAATTAGGTAACCCATGTTATAGTAACTCTGGAAGGGACATGATAGAAAATATGCACAGACAAGTTAAAGGTCTAAATTTAGTCTAAAATCACTCGATGTAAGCTGATTAATTCAAGGACATTATGAAATCAGATCACATAATATATGAACATGATAAGGAATTCAAGGTTTTCTATTAAACATGTTTTCTACCCAAATTTTGAAAAATCTGCTTATGTGCCTAATGATTAATATTTTGTGTATAAATCAGTTATTTTTTAAAACACTTTATAACTTTTCTTAAAATGCCTATTTTTCTCAATTTCCTCCTAAATGTTTTTTCCTTCCAAGCACATTTCTACTTTGCTTATTAGCACTACCTAGCCTCAAAATGGTAAGTAATGGTTTCCACAAAACTCCTTTACCTTCACTTAAACCAAGAGTACATTCACAACAATTATGGCAAAAAAAGATTATGTTTATATACCAACAACATCAGCATACCATGAAAATTTATGAAATGGAAATTACCGGTGATAAAGTATATTCTATTCTGCTTAATTGTATAGAAAATTTGTATTTTTAACCTAGTAACTCTTAATAAGTGATACAAATCCCTTAGCTGTTCAGTTTTATATCCTACAAATTTACAGATAACTCTCTAAAAAGATTTTTAAAACTAAGTACATTAAATTAGGCTCTTAGTCAAATAAAATATGACACATAAATACAGAGCAATAAATAAATATACCCCAGTCAGGAAGAACACATACCTCCCATTTGTTCACCCTCTCTCAGCACTATGACATCCAAACCAGAACAGGGAGGTGATGATTCACTGGTGCTGATGCCCAAGGAGCCCCAGTGCTACAGGAGAAAGCAAAAGTAAGAATACTCTACTACCAGAGATCTGTTCACCAAACACGTAAAAGTAGACATCTCCAGTATCTAAATTTGCACAAAGACTACATGTTGTACTTTTACAGTTAGATAACATTTGTTATTATTTTTTAACGTGCTAGTTTTAAGTTAGTCTTTTGTTTCTCTGGTTTTGGTTTTTGTTTCACGGAAAAGGAGACTATAAAACCCCTGCCTCAGGGACAAAACTGGAAACAATCCCATGAAGAGCAAAGAAAAAATTACGGTTGTGACGAATTCCAGAAAAAGGCACAGAATTCCTGAACCGACAAATACCATCTTTCAAGAATAAGAACTGTGTAATTCTCTTTCTGGGTTCTGTCTACAGAAAAAGCACTGGGCTTTTTATATGAAACTGGAGCACAGAGCTTCTATGATAGCAGAAATTCTCTGGAGTTCCTTGGAAGTCCTATTTACTATATAACATCTACAGACCCTCGAAGAGCAGGAAGCCCAAACGTTGAGTCAAGGCTCCTTCCCTCCTTCCTTCTCAATAAGTACAAAAACTGAGTTTCCCTTCTCAGCAGATTCTCGGGACACAATTGGATAGTGATGTCTTTCAGGCTCAGATTCCCCCCACTCCTTGTTTGTCTTACAAAGCCATCTACTTGTACTTTAATCAGAACTTCTTAATGAACACATCAGTTACAATTAATCTTTTTATCTTCTAATGGCATATAAATGCACTTTCCAGTAAGGTATTCAGTAGCTGAATGTGTCCATTAAGCACATGAAGTATGGCTTTTTTGGACTGAGACATGCTGTGCTCTAAGTGTAAAGCACACATGGATTTCAAAGACTTAATATATGAGAATATAAAACATATTATTATATTTTATATAGATTATTGTTGAAGTGGTAATATTTTTAATATGCTAAGTTAAAAATAATTAAAACTAATTGCACTGGTTTCCTTTCACTTTTTTAATGCAAATACTAGAAAATTTTAAATTACATGGGTAGTTCACATTATATGTCTAGTGGGTAGGGCTGATTTATGCCTATATGATCATAAGCTTTTACTAAACTATTCCTGTATCAAACTTTCATGCTTATACAGCATCATAAAATCTAGCCATTACAAGAGCTAAATGAATATTGCCTTCTCCTCTGACAGCCAAAGTAGATTACATCCACTTACCTGCTTCCATGCTCCTTCCTTTCTGGTATCCTCACTCAACCTTAACATCTTGAATATTATCCCATACTTCTCCTCCTTCACATCCCTAACCCCAACTCCCACCCAAATTACTGGCCTTGAAATATTAATCTTTTATCTTTAATGATTTTCACACTTAGAGAAAGGGATGGAACAAGTTCTCCCAAAGGAACCTCGAGGCTATCTCTAAAGAGCTTTAAATAATAGCACGCAGTCGTGGTAAAGGTTTCCAAATAGGACACGGCATGAACCCTTGCCTCCCACTGTGCAAATTATTATAGCTCAGTTTCTTTTTCTGTAATAGAGGGTAAATACCGTTATCATTTAGTATTGAATTCATATTTTATTTAACTAATATTACATTAAAATATCAATTTCATGTTTTCTTGTGAGTTAATATAAAAGAAGCATTTAGAACAGCACCTGGGACTTCATCACAAATATTTATTAGCAGTTACTGTTGACATTATTTCCTTTTTCGTCATGCTTTCTTTCTATTCCTAGCTACCCCATCAACAGGTTCTCTCCTCAGTCAACTCTTCAGTATATCCAATAAAATGTAAAAACTACAGAACAACAGATGGAGAGGGAGGTCACCTGCAGTTGCCAAAAACAAAATACTCCAAATATGAAAGAGCCCGTGAGTGCATTGCCTCACACAATAGAAAGATTCTTCATTATGAGAGGTAGTCAAACTAAGTCTGGGCACTGTAAAGAAGTATGTTGGATTGGAAAAGATGTTTCCCTCTTTAACCCGCTATTCCCTGTCAAAATATTTAACCCAAATATTAAAATCTAGAATCTATTCCATTGGAAAAAATCAGCAATTCTAGAAACTACTTTCTCTGGGGTACTGATTCAGCTATCATTTTATGCCTGTACACCTAAAAAAAAAAAAATCAAAAAGCTCCTATCTGCAACTACTGGAAAGCCCAAATTGAGACTTCCACCACATGGCAACCCATGTTAATCTGCCCACTCATACCCAATAAATTTGAAAAGAGTAGATACAAATGAAAAAGTCAAAATGTCCCTTTGTAACTGTGGCAAACCAAGTGGAGAATAAGGCAGGGAACTCTTTAAGCCAAAATGTAGGAAAACTGAACCATTCATTAGTCTTTTCATCATCTGTCATATATTACAGACACTTGCATTATGTTTTATTTCCTTCTCTTAGCAGCAAGGAGTTCATCTTCCTGGACAAGAGTCTACAAAACTGCATGTGACATATTACTCAAATATTTGTCATGTTGGATTGAATCTATAGTTATAATATGAAAAAAAAAAGTGGTTTTCTCTGTGAAGCACTCAGTTTTAAAACACTTTCACATTATTTCATTATCCCAACAATCTTATAACTAGGCACATCAAAGATGGGCTCTCATTTTTGCTAAATCCTCAAGTTCATGAGTCTAAGTAGTTAATTAAAAAATATCTGTTTCTGTATGTCTTAATGAAGAAACCTTTAGTCCAAAAATATGCCGATTATAAACAAAATAAAAAAAATGGAACTTCACAGCACTACACAAGGGGATTTCAAATAGTTCTTGGAAAAAGTGGAGTAAAGTACAAATGTATTTTGGTGCAAAAAAAAATTGAAATCCATGAATAGCTTTTTCATATTATGCATTTTCTGTGAACTTTTTGAAGACTCCTATTAATAGTATCATACCACGCTAAACCACACAAGAACCTAGCTCAAAAAGAACCAGGGGGTGGAAGGAAGGAAGACAAAAAGATGATGATGAAGATGACAACTTTTTCATAGTAAGCTAAATCTAAGGCCAGTCCCTAAATAAAACTAGCTTGCTTTTCACATTTCATTTTTCCTATCTCGTTAAAGTCACATCATTTTATTTGCTTTCCTACAAGTTTCTTTTCTCTCTCCCTGCCTCCCTCCCTCCCTTCTTCCTTCCCTAATGTGAGACACAAATAAAGAACATGCAAACACATTTAAGGAAGAGAGAGAAAAAGGTCAGTTATTTTTGACAGGGTTTTGCCACGTCATGAACTGTGATTCTCCCGCCCCAGCTCCCAGCCAGGCAGGAGTGCAAGCATGCACCATTACTCTCAGCCTGTTTAGACTGGGCTGGAAACTGAACCCAGGTTTTCATGTGGCCTCAGCTACCTGGCAGTAGTGGCCTTCCACTTGTGCCACCAAAGCTGCGCTCCTAAAAGTTCTTTTCTATTAAGTTTCTTTTTCCTGACAACTAAGTAATTAGCTGTACTTTCATCATCAAAATTATACTCTAGCTCAAATTTCACCTGCTACCTTCCCTCATACCTATATGTCGACTCACGTTTTAAAAGTTATAAAACTTTTGTAGTTTCCTCACTCTGTTTTAATGGATACTTTTTTTTTACTCCCTTGAGTTTATAAGTAGTCTCTGAAATGGCTTCTGTTCCATTCTACTCTCTCTAGAAATAATCTGTTATAAGTCTATACAGAATCTGCTGGTATTCCCATTTCACTTACATGAATAAAAGATCAGCAGTTTCTCTATAAAATATTTGCAATAAGCAATCAGTCAGTATTAACTGACATCTAAGATTATAAAAGCAGAGTTAACTTCCTACCTTTTTTCACTTCTCAGTTCATATTTAAAATGTTCTACAGCTCTATTTACAATGATATAGGGAAATTTATCTCACTTATCTTAAAGCTTCTTTCTGGGCAATAATTTTAAAATCTCACTGGGTTCTTTGAAATTTATTTTAGATCCAAGAAGTTTCCGTGTCTAGGAATTTAAGTCCAAGTTTATTTACCTTCTAACTGATGTATTATTTTAAAATATTCTTGCACCTTGTCTCACACTGTACTTAAAAGTAAGAGTCATGTCCTATTCAGACTTGTACCCTGATCAGTTTGAACATGGTACTAATTCAAATACATGCATGTTGAACTCAGTATTCTCACTGAAAGTGCTAAGTTGCTGGCTTTAGCGGAAGATCTTCAAATTTTCTTCTGTGTGATTTGACAAGTCACTACAGATTTGAACCAGATTCTGAGTAAACCGCACTATAAAACCACGGTTGGAACCTAAGTTCTGTTATTATATCTCATGATTGATTTTAGCATAACTACCACCTGCAAAAGAGATAGTAATTAATTAGAAAGAAAAACTGGTCCCAAATCTTACTCTTTCTTAGCCACAGTTCTCAGTAACCCTTACTACCAGTCTCTAACTACTAATCTGAAAACAAGATGGAATGTCATCTATTTCCCAGATCACACAGACACTTGTGGTAAGGAGATGAGACAGTAACATGGATATGAGGTTAGCTTTTGACTTATTGTAATATATTTTGCTCCAAAAGTTAAGAGATTCAAGTTAAAAGTAATTTCTTACTAGAATGAAATTTGAAAAAAAACATTTAAAAAACACAGACATAGGCTTTTGCAGATATTTCCAGTTAACTTGTGATAATGTCAACATTAGCTCAAATTTAGATTGAAAAACTATTACTTACCTATTACTATTGCTTATTATTTTAGGTTGTTTTAGCAAATACCTGGACCTCGGTAAAAATCACTAAATTGTACTCAGAATATAAGAGCATGTGCTACAGAATACAAAATTCAATGTGTAAACAAACTGATAAAAATCATTTAACTAAGTGGAGAAAGGTAGGAGCACTAAAGAACCTTCATATACAGTCACATGTAATCATCACATCTGCGTGCAGCTAAACATGTGGCACTCCAGTTTCAGGAATCCTGAGCCTACCAAAACTTTTACAACTAAATTTGGGTTATCTGAGGTGAGGGAAGAGATACGAAAGGAGAGTA